GATGAGTGTCGCACTAGCGAGAGAAGGAAGCCCAAGTAGCCTCATAGATTCTGACAGTGGAGGGCCGCTTGGAGGCCTGGATGGTATGGATGATTTTGTTGAAGAACCTGCTGAGTCTCAGGATGTCCCCCTCAAGTGCCAGACGGCCAGCTGCAGCCACTGGAGCTCCAGTTGACGAACGGCCCCCTGACTGAGGGAGATCTGATCCTGAGGTATGCGCCAAGGTGGACTGACAGACAAACTGACCAGATTGGCGAACCAGGACCTCCTGGGCCAGTGGGGCGCTACAAGCAGCACTTCTGCTCTCTCTGACAGGATCTTCCTGACCACCAGGGGAATCAGAGGAAGAGGCAGAAACGCGTACAAGAGTCCTGGTGGCCACGGTGACCGAAGAACGTCCGTCCTTTCCGCCTTGGGGCAACGGAACCTGATGAAGTACCGGGGAAGCTGGGTGTTGACACGAGTCGCGAACAAGTCGACCTGCAGGTGGCCGAACCTCCGCGCCAGCTGGCGGAATAAGGCTGGATGAAGATGCCATTCTGAGCTCTGGATGGTGGTTCTGCTCAACCAGTCCGGCGTCACGTTGTCCTCCCCCGAAATATGGTCTGCCTGGAGGGAGTTCAGGAACATTTCTGCCCAGCGGCCTAGCGCCTCCACTTCTAACATCAGGGTCAGAGACCGGGTGCCGCCTTGATGGTTGATATGCAACTTTGTGGCGATGTTGTCTGTTAGGATCAGCACATCGTGGCCTTTGATCTGACTGCGGAAATGGTGCATGGCTAGCCTGGTGGCCCAGAGCTCCAGCCAGTTGATGTTGTGGGCGAGCTCTGCCTGCGGTCACCGGCCCTGGACCACCTGAGTCTGGAGGTGAGCGCCCCAGCCGAAGAGACTGGCATCCGTCATTATGATCAGGCGCTCCGGTTCCTTGAAGCAGCAGCCCTTCAGAAGAGCGTCCGTCTGCCACCACCTGACAGATCATAGAACCTTTGGAGGTAGATGCACTCTCCTCTTGGAGTTGCTGGCCTTGAGCACCCAACTGTGGGGGCAATATGCTGACTCTGTAAACTGCTTAGAGAGGGCTGAAAGCCCTATGAAGCGGTATATAAGTCTAACGGCTATTGCTATTGCACCTCTGGAGCGGCAGCAGAAACCACTGGAGCTCTCGCGTATGCAGTCGTGCCCACAGAACCACTGAGATGCACGACACGAATTTCCCCAGGAGCTGAGAGAGGGAAACTACCGATGCTGTCCCCACTGA